TTTGCCATCGGAATCAACTAGAAAATAACTAACACATACAATCCATCTAAGTATTGGTAGATAGCAGTCAATATAAAGTACATGTTTTCCACAAGCACATATTCTAGCAGCCAGAAAATGCAGTTCTCTTGAGTGTATGGTGAGTTATTTGCTATGCCTTTGAAGAGTGATGCCTCCCTGAATTCTTTCCCCATCACTCTTTTCCTCACAAAGGCACTGAAAAGTGGCACTGGGATACAAACATTTAGTTTTCTCAAAGCAGAACTCACTATTGTTATTTAGATAGCCAGACAGCAAAAGTGAACTATGTGTCACGGGGAAGAAAGGCAGCCTCTGTTGCAACATCAGTTACTTAAATTTATGTTTTTCAGCTCCACAGTTAAAGATCAGAGCGTAAAGCAGAAGTAACCAGATAAACACCTGGTCACCAGCTTCAGTCCAGTCACCTCTATATAGCCATATATGTTGGTAGTCATACTTCCTCTAGAATGGCATTCAGATCTTGTAGGTCACAACTAAAAATCTGTTACTGATACTTCTTAATTTTTTTCCCCGTGTTACATGAACATCTGGGGGAAACGCATTCCCCCTGCCCTTGCAGCTGCATATGCTCAACATCACCTCAATCTTTTTAAGATCAGCTAAACCAGGCATTTCTCCAGTAATACTAAAAACAGCTCAAATTTTAAATACTGAATTGCATGCAAATATTCTGGTACCTGAGCCGGCAAAACAAATAGGGAGATCAAGTTATTAGTTGATTATATGAATGGAACAGAACTGTACTAACCCTTCTACCATAGCATTAAACTTAAGAGTTCCAGTTGCCTAAAGATTTACAGATCATATTCTCTAGAATAAGTTACTCTGTTATGTAGTTATGAACTCTGAATTTGGTCTAGCACATTATCCTCTATAATTGTGTAGCATCTCAAGATAAAAAAGTCATTCTAAGAAGTCATGCCATATTAGATCAAGAGCCTTACAACAGCATAGGCACTTTGATTAAACTTGTGTTAACAAGACCTGGTCTCATTCTTGGAGAATGAGTTTTGTTAAACCATGTTTTATATGGTCAAATGAATCAAGGAGACAATAACACTAACGGAAACTTGATTTTCCCTCCTCTCTCAAGTCTGGCCTAGAACTGATACCAGGACAGTTAATGTGTAATTGAAAAGTGGAAGTATCTCGCTAATAACCTAGCTTAAGTGACCAGTCTCCTGTAACTCCTCTAAAACAAATAAAATTTAAGAATAAGAAAACCAGCAAGCCAGCTATAAAAGATCCGGCAGAAATGATGTGTGGATTCAGTCTTTAGCAAATAAAGCTGTTTAGTTGTCTCAGGTCTGCAGGACTATTTTCAGACTTTCCTGGTCCTATTTAAATAATGGCCACTCTAAACAAAACAAGGCAAGGTATAGCCAACTTAATCTTGAAAAGGAACCTTTGCTTTTGTATCTTGTTTTGACAACCTCTATTTTTCTTCTGAAGAAAACTTGGTTCTGTTTTAAGTTTACAATGGCAGTAGACAGTAAACAAGTGAGATGGTTCTCAGTATTCATTCCAAGAATAAAGGATCCTTGCCATATAGGAAACCTAAGTACTTAGGTCTCCTTCTTTAAACTGACTCATGAACGCTTCATTCTTCTGCTTTTGGGGTGTTTTTTGGGCTCTTTTTGGTGGTAGGGGAGACTGTATTCACTATTCACAAGTAGCAGAGATCAAGAAGTGCTTAAAGCAACCCACTCACAGGGTGAAACAAAAACTTAAGCTGATATTGACTTTTAGTCTACTTTTATGAGCAAAAAGAAACATGATAGTTTGTTTCTTTGGGGATTACTTAAGTCAGCAAGGACTAACAATTAGTTCTAGCACCAAGGTTTGGCACCACAAACGAGCGTTAGAGACCTAAAAGTGTTTGGCACCACAATGCAGAACAGATTGCTGCCACCAACACAGGGAATTACTCTTGGATGAAAAACTATCACCTAAGGAGATATGCAGTTTTTATAACTTCAGTTGTGTGCACACTTAGTTCTTCATCTAAACTTTTACCAAAAGATAGAAAGTCAGTTCCTGAGTAGCAACATGGGGTTGCCATGATTCTTGGAACCATTCTATTAATATAGGAAAAGGGGTCTATGTTTCAGGCACAAGGTTAAGAGACCTGGTTGTGGCCGATACCAGCAAGAGATCATAAATTTGCAAGTACTAAGGCATATGAATATTTACTTTGTGAAAGATTAAGAGTCTGTTTTATAGCATGCTTTAACTCAAGACAACAGAAGCTGTAAGAAAGTGGTCTCATTTTAATAGTACAGAACTACTTGAGATCTGCTGAGCAACCACCACCTTACCTAAATTCATCTTGCTGCTCTGCCAATTGATCCATCAAGATTTGAAGTCGATCCCACCTCATTCGACTGCACTCTTTATGGAAGTCAAATGCTATATATCTATTTAGAGAGAAGCATCTTTTAAAGTTACAGACATTCTACAGTAAAGATCTCAAAAAAAAAAAAAAAAACAGACCACCAGGGAAGAGCTGATGGCACTGCAGAGAAGGCAGTGACAGAGGGTTTCCCCCCTCCCTTCTTTAGAGGGGGCTTCCAGCAGATATCAGTGGATTTTTATCAGTGCGCTGTAATTTTCCTGAGATTGTGCGCTTAGTGTGCATGATGACAGCTTTTACATTTCTTTACAAGACACCACTAGTCTGAGGAAGCAGCCATTCAGTTCCAAGTTATTCATTCTAAGTTCTGGCTAATATTCCCCCCCCCCCCAGAAAAGCACAGAGGGAGAAATGCATCCAATTTCATTTCTGCTTGTCCACCAGGATTCTGCCACCCTCCCCTCCCTGAGGGGCAGCATCTTGGACGTGTCAGTCGTCTTTCAAAGAGAGTCAGGCATTAAAATGCAACATTCTTCTCTGGCATGCAGCATAACCCCCTTTGATGGCTCTCTAGAACTTGAGACAAGTTCTGTTTGAACAACTGAGCTATAAGGGCCATCAGAAAATCCAACTGGGCCATAAGAAAATCCAACAGCTACTGATAGGGAACAAGATTTTAACAGCCAATTCATTTCTGGCAAAAATTGCTCTAGGTGAATGGTATCTCATTCAGCTTACATATATAAACATGCCCTGCAATTCACTGCAAATGAAGTTCCTGCCCTGAAGTACTTGTAACCCAGAAGTTATTGTTTGCCAAGCTTTCAAGACTATTTGTCTGAGGAAGGATGGCATATATGCATCGAAGACTCAAATTATTTAGCCTGGCAAGTAAACGCCACCAAAATTAACACGCAGCCCACTCCCCTCCCCAAAAACACAGGACAACTTTGGCAGCATTAAGACAAATTTTGCTAGTCCTATTTTAACAGACACAGAGCAGTAAACATGGCTAATAAAAAAGCCCCACAACCTAAAAGAATTTTAGCATGTTTCCACTAGATGATTTTATAGCAGTATCAGAGATGCATATAATCCCACAAGCTCTGTACATCTTTAAGATATCAATACCAGCCTAGAGGTAAGGGTGGTGGAAGAACTCTCCTCAGAAGTGGTTGTATATTCAAAAAAAAAAAAAACCACACACTCTCCCCACAGACACCATACGCCTTTAAGCATAAAAGGTAGGATTTTGTCCTTGGACGTGTATGAGATGAACACCACCATCACACAGCAAACTCAAGGAAAAGACAGAGAGATATGGATCTGTGGGAGTTTTACCCTCCCTACGGAAATCAGGCAAAGCAAGCCCATTTGCTCTGAGGTCCACATATTTAAATTACATGCTTCCCTCTCCTCTATCTCCAATACCGTTTGCCCACACTTAGCACTCCCTTACTAACTCAGCAATGAGAACAACCCTTTCTACCAGAAACTAGACCTACGGGGTCCGATTTCTCTTTCGTGAAAACAGTCTCAGTCTTTTGTATTTCCAGCATACTATTATTCCAAAACTACATGGCATCATCATGACCCTCAACATCCCTTCTTTATTCCGCCTGGCTCTTCTCTTTGCTCCATCTTCTCTTCACAGGCTTACTTCTGTTTAGAATGGAAACTCTGAGGTAGGGGCATTGGTCATATGCAGGTTACTTCCTAAGAAATACAATTCCGAAACAAATCAGGTATTTTGTTCAAGGCCTCGAAGCACTGTGATCAGTTTTTGTGGGTCTCAGAGGCAACACCCAACTTTTAACACAGGAATGTATCATTCCACTACACATACACACCTGACCATTCCATTTGCCATGCTGTTCACCATTTTTGCAAACGTTTGCTCAAGAGGCTTCTCTGAACCCTTCTGGTTAACCTATGAGGGAAAAAACAGATAGTGTTACTTGCAAGCCTGCTTGAAAGAACAACAGCTTTCTCAAGAAAAACATATGAATGCATACCAAGTTAACAATCATTTGCTTTCCATAACTAATTATTTGTGAGTCAAAATGTCTTTGGAAGCCATCCATCTAGAAAAAGAAAAAAGGTGATGATACATTTATGCTCTACTATTAAGACCTGCATTTTATGAAAAATCTCTAATCACTCCTTTGATGAAATAGCACAGGCACTTTTATAGCCAATGAAGTGTTTATTGTTCTTTACTGTGGTAATACATTTCTACTTTTATCCCCAAGTCCATTCAGCTCTCCTTAAACAATCTGCATATGCTCAATAGTGTGCCACTACAAGAACTACTACAAACAAGAACCAGAGAGAAACTACACTCATTCACACTTGGATTTTTTTCAAAATCTGAACTCAAGTCTCAAGGAATACAAAGGCTTCTTGTTGCTACTGTTTAACAATAAACTTCAACCTCGTACTGCTTTGACTCTTCTGATTACAGTTTGTCAACCCTTCATATCCACATAATCCCATAAATATATTATATCCCCAAAAATGCAATGAGCAGTCACATACATGATTTACTGACTTGCTGATCTGTGGCTTTGGTTTATATTTGAGGTTTGGTCTTTGAGACCAGAAAAAAGGAATTGATCCACGGGTCTGCAAGAGAATGGAAATAGTTTGAGACAATAGGTCTTACAAACACACTTGACAAAAAAAAGACTGGTTTAGTTGGTACGCTCCCTTTTTGCATATGCTCCAACTTGACCAATTGCAGATCAGCACAGCATTGCAAGACAAAAAGACAACCAACCAAAAAACTTCAGCTAGTCAGCAGTTCATTATACTGATCTTACCTGAACAAATGATGCTTTGCTCCCCTTGTAATGCACAATTTGTTCTGTTTCAACAAAATTAGCTGCATGTCCTTCTGAATCAATACCTAAGTAGGTAACAGAGCGGGGGGGGGGGGAAAGACTTGTTATCCAGCTCAGACTGGCCACAGAACAACAACAGGATATCAGCAAAAGGTTTCCCATCCCTCCTTTCCAAGTACTCAAAGCAAGAAAATACCACACAGTTGTCAAAAGATGGTAAATTAAACAAGCCTTTGGCAGAAGTTTAACATTATCTGTGCCAAATTCAACTTGCTGAAGAAGCACAGTTGTGCACAGCAAAGGCTATAAATTCAAGAACACTTTGATAATTATAGTCTGAGAAACTGAGTAGTTTCAATGCAAAATAAGATATGAATGTTTTCACACTGCAGTATCCACGTTTCAGCAGCAATGGTACTGGGGAAATAGAGTGGTACTGTCAAAAGCATGCATGCTGGCTGGGGCTAACACACAAAAAAAACTAGGTCTAACCATTTGTTTCAGGCTGAGAACTAAATAATCAGAGAAGACTGCTGTTCAGTTTCCCCTCCTCCTAGCCCCAGCAAAGCTCATAGCTCAATTCACTGCTGGTCCAAAAGAGCTGTTAGACATTTGCAATCAACTCCAATCAAAACTGGAAAGCAATAAAAATGCCAGCCTACAAAACATTTTCAATTCTCTCTAGAAGGAATAAAGAAAAGTCAGTTTAATAAATACCGACACACTTCAGTTCATCATACAGGTTCCTACTATTTTCTTTGAAACAAGGACCTCTTGACACAAACTACTGTTTTAAGTATTTTCTGTTAAAATCATTATACTAGCAATTTATCTTAAACATAAGTCACATACAAATGATGCCAAATTCCAGCAATGTAAGTTAAATAATTTGGTAGCTTACCTCTTACATAGTAGCGTACACCAGCTCTGAAACAGCTTCTCCTGGAAACAAGCAGCCAGTCAAAACACTTCCCATTAATAGAACAAGAGTGCATCGTGATAACACAATACACTAAGGAAAAAAAACACAACTTGTCTTTGTGTGTGCGTGTATATAAAGATGCACACACACATATTTACACACACAGAAAAGACCAAGGAACCAAACGGCCACATTCAAAGAAAACTGTAAACATTTACCACATCAGTACAGTTAAACTTAAAGAGAAAGTAACTTAATATTAGGATCAGCATGTGCAACACAAAAGACAAGGTACAGGGACTGTCACCAACAACAAAAATAAAACTGCTATAATTTCGACAAAACAGGACTCTACAGAATATTAATCTGGTTTCATGGTCCTGTGCACATCTTGAACACTGAACAGAACTTCAGAGGAAAAAAACACAACTTGTCTTTGTGTGTGCGTGTATATAAAGATGCACACACACATATTTACACACACAGAAAAGACCAAGGAACCAAACGGCCACATTCAAAGAAAACTGTAAACATTTACCACATCAGTACAGTTAAACTTAAAGAGAAAGTAACTTAATATTAGGATCAGCATGTGCAACACAAAAGACAAGGTACAGGGACTGTCACCAACAACAAAAATAAAACTGCTATAATTTCGACAAAACAGGACTCTACAGAATATTAATCTGGTTTCATGGTCCTGTGCACATCTTGAACACTGAACAGAACTTCAGAGATCAGTCCTTTTATCTCGTTCAAAATTTTAATTGAACTACCTTAATGGATTCTTGCCCCCATTGCTTTTTATTAAAAAGAATACTCCTTTCTCTAGGTTTTCAGAAGAGTGAATATCTTGCACTGTTGAAGCTTTGCTCTTAAGTGCAGCATACATCACATTCACACATTGCAGGACTAGCAGTAATGCAGACTGGGTTTCAAATCCTTATCCCAAAAGCAAGAGCATGCCTTAAGCTGTTTTTGGACCTCTTCTTTGAGTGCTTTCCTTGCTTCTTCAAGGCCTACTGTTTTCTTATCTCAAAACACAAATGTCTCAACCTGTATGCTCATAAAAGGAATCTCTAATTTCTGTAGGCCAAATTCGGCCTCTGTGTAGGCAGCCTCCTTGAAAGTCTCCAGTGGGAGCTTTTTATCCAAGTATGCTTTTTCGCTCAGACGAGGTACCCAAAACGGTGGATACACCATAATCCAGGACCAAGCTTAAGCAATGAACAAGCAGAAGTCATTAACAACTGTTTTCAGTTTTTAAGTCTTGTTCTGTCCTGTTTAAAGTTGTCTTTAAAAAGGCATTTCTCAAGAATAACTTCTTCAGGTAGATTCATAGACTTTCATCCTTTTTCACTAACAGACTAAATCCACAACTTTTCAATAAGCGCAAGACTGAAACAAGTAATTCTACAAGCTGCAGTATTGGCAGGCTGCACTCTGTTCTTTTCTTTGAAGTCAAGATACTTATTGTCCTATGGTTGGTTAAAAGCAAAGTGGCACATTTTACAGGAAAATCTATGTTCTGTATTTTCTGTCAAGGACTCAAAAGGACTTAAAGCTGCTAAGCTACACATGCAAGCATCTAAGCTATGCTAAAGAACCCACTGACTGCATACATGGAACATCCTGGTTTATTTCTGAGTTTGCATCACTGTTTGTAAATAATTCCAAAAGCTAAGAATTTGCCAAGGAAAAATACCTGTTGGCCCTGCACAGTCCAAAGTGTTCTCAGAATTCATAAACTAGGATCTTTAAGAGTCTTTTAAAAAAAAAGTCTTTTAAGCAGAATAATCTTCAAGGATTCTTCTGCTTTCCTGGAAAAATACTGTCAAGACCCACAACGTTTAACCTAACACACTTGTATAGCCAGTAATGTCCTATAAGAAAGGTTACTGCTAAACTTAGCTGCTTAGCAGCATTCTGCCCAACCTACAGTCTCATAGCAGTTTCCTTCAGAATATTTAAGAATAATAAGAAAAATCTGTAATCAGACAACACTCTAGTTTCCTCCTATGTCAAGGAAGGAAGGAGAGAAAAATGAGCTCTTCTTTTTGGAAGCAATGACTAGAATCTCAAGCTCACTAGAGCACTAGTGAGCTTGGAAGAATAATGGAAGAAAGGAAAGCTATCACAAAGCCCAAGCAATTGTAAATATTAGTTTCTTCCCCTTCCTAAGGATTTGACTCTTCAAGACCGCAAGGCAAGAGTTAGAGGTCCCGTTTTATGGGTCTTTTTTTTTTTTTTTTTTTGAAAAAAAGGGAAACATTAATAGTTTAGCCTTTAATTGCTAAAAGTCTCAGTCACCTAAAATAGTCCATTACTTCTCATCGCTGCAAGACCAGGACCCCAGTCCAGATAGTTGAACAAATTATATTTATATTTATAGAGCAGAAAAAAGAAGTCTTTGATTTTACTGAAATAACTGCCAGTGGCACTACTCCAGTGCTGCTTAGGGCTCTGCACCTCTAGCAGCTTCGTCACTAGAAATGCAATCTTTTAGAATTCTTGCGAATGGGTTATCTAAGGCACTTGGTAGTATTTGAATTACAGCAACACCTACATTACTCATACTAATTATTTATGTAGTGAAACTAGGACAGAGGAAGGTGTTAATTGCAGTCTGCCAATTACTAATTGTAATCCACCCAACTTCTTCCCTGCAAGAGCTGCAAACACAAGATAAGGATTGGGTAATTTTGACAGATCCCTTTTCCCATCTTTCCTTGCATCTTCACCTACTCCCACCACGCTTTCCATTATATGAAATGGCAGGACGGACCGGAGGTCTGCGAGCGATAGTAGTCCTCCCAGGATTAGTGGTCCAGTCTGCACACCATTCCCTGACCATGCTACCTGAGCAGCCTTTGTGATGGAGCAGCTAGGAGGGGCGCTGTGTGAGTTACTCTGTCCAGTCTTAGCTATCTCTTTTCACGCTCCGAATTCAGGAGCGCCTGGGGCTTACTTTTGCTCACTCACTGCACGAAGAACAATGCTTCCAGGGAGCATTAGACTTACTGGCAAGCATACCTCCCTTCTCAAAAATAAACTCATGAATGCTTTGCTAAAAAGACTGTTACCCAAAGTAAAGCGTTGGTGTAGCAAAAGCAACTAGCCAGGAGAAGCGTCCAAGGAGCTTTTAGCAGAACTCCTCATCCTTCTGTGCATCAACAGGAACATCCACAAGCGCTCCTTCAAGTTAAAACTATTCTCCCTTATTTTAAATTCAAAGGCCTTGATAATAATTGTTTGAATTATTTACTTAGTAGTTAGCTAGTACAGACCACTGTGTTCATTTAGAAATCAGAAAACACTAACTGAGGGTATCCTTATAGCAAGATGAAAAAAAATACCAAGACTGATGTAAGTGTTTGCCATAATCATCTTTACCTTTACCTGCCTTGAAAGACAATCATGCAAATCATGCCTGTAAGATGAAACAAATTAAGCCTTAAAAGTAGAAAAATATTCAAATGAGTTAACATGAAACATTCATAGCTCACATGCATGTTTTTCTTATATCTGAACAAACTACAAACTAACTCTGACATTATGCTCTATGTTATAGTTGCCAGTATAGTTTACTCTCATCAGCAAACTTTTTGCCTTAGACTACCAAATTCAGCACTGAGCTTTACATCATAAAAGGATACATCCATGCATCACTGGCGTAGCAAACCTATGGATCTGAAACAGAGACATAGAACAGTACAATTAAAACATTAAACACTAGTAGCCAAAGAGAGATACATAACCTAATTATGATTTGTCTAGGATTTTTTAGATAGTTTTATATACTCGATATCCTTCTTTAAGATGCAGTAATTCTCCCTGATAAAAAAGTTCACAACAAAAACAGAATAGTATATGTAACCCTTACGGGGTGGGGAGGGGGGCAGTGAAATTCTGTAAGCAATCTTAAGTGACCTTGGCAAAGAACAGGCTGCTTTGTCCTAAACAAGGCATTTATTCCTCTACAAACACACTACTTATAAACCAGAATACATTGAAAACCTTTTGTTGCGGGATTTGCTGTATCTCAACAGTACGATGTAAGCTCAGATAGTAGCAACACAAGTCTCCAGTAGGAAGAATTCTATGTGAATAATCCTTGAAGTGCTTGTTCTACAGTTTCTACCATACTGTCACACCTGAACTACTTGGTCTTTCCATAAAGTTTAAAATTAAAAGTTTCCATGTCAGAAATTCCATGTCTGGTTACCTACAACTGTTACTATAGCAAGTTACTTTTAGTCAATATTAGGTCAGACTTCCCCTTATATCAGTTATTTCCCTTTTGAGCTTCTCTCTTTTGCCTCCTACTACTGTTTTTACTAACCAACCACCCTTGACTTTATCTTTGCTGTTCCCATCGCTGCTTCTCTACCTCCCCAGCGTAGTTTGTGTAGCACCATCCCAACCATCTACCCAGGCAGCCCCAAGGCTTCCTTCTTCCCTCTGGAGTACGCACAACAGCCCTTTGTTAACTCGGATCGTCACATTTCAAAAAACACTGCACGATACAACACTTTGGAACAGTGCTATCTCATGTAAAACGTCTCCGTGGGTTACTGCGACAGAAATAGAAACTGTGTCTCATTCACTTGGATAAATGGAAAGCACCCATAAAGAGAAAAGGTTGCTGTAGTGAAGGCAATTCAAGAAATTTAACATGCCTCTAAAGTCTCTGGTAGGAAGGAGCTCAGATCAGCCTGGCCATTGATGTACATAGCTGTGGCTCCTGGACATGCATTTTTGAATTCACTGCGTCCAGCAAATATAAACATATATTGTACTAGTACACATTTCAAAAAACCAGAAGACTCTAAAATGTCAGTCTTACTCTTAATAGTCAGCTCCACAGCCTATTCACTAGACAACTGTTTTTAAACTGCACCCATGAATAAAGATGATTTGAAACCATGAAGTAGTGACAAACCACATTCTGCAAATACTAGGAATAAACAAGTAGTTAGACTCAAAAAAGTTTGAGAGGCATGCAGTGTAACTTCCACTTGAGTTAATATTTCTTAGCATGGTATCAGCGCCGTACCTTCAAACGCAGACACTTGCAAAGAGTCAGCTTTACTATGTACTACTGAGGACACTGGTGTGTAGTTGGAAGCTAGAAAGCAAAAGGCTATCACGTTGAACTGTTTTACCTTACGTACACAGTACTTTTGCTAATCAAGAAGAGGAATAACCAAGTTATGCCAGATTCTGACTGCCTGAAATAAGACAGAGAACTATAGGAGAGCACTGTACACTTTTAGCACAAAGTGTATCAATATAACCACTGCACAGACATTACCTCTGGTTGAGCAGCAAATTCTCTAAGAAGATGCCCATTCCACACAAACCGTGGATCTGCCTGCAAGAAAAACAAACAAAAAGAAATGCTCTTAGAGGCTTTAAGCTCTGTTGAATTCAGCATAAAAAAAAAGAATTATAGCACCCAGGTACTAACACAAGTCTAGGTGAATAGATATACTTTGAGATGGAGTACCTTTTCATCAGTATCACTCATGTAGCCTCATCTAGAAAGCTAAAAAAATTAAATTGTTAAAAGAAAAAAGGATAACGTCCTCTAATCTTCGAGGGGGCTGCCTGACACTTCAGATAGGCTAATCCATTAACAATTCAGCTGCAATATCAGAACATTCTGCCCTAAGTAAACAAGGCTTGACAAGATCATCAAAAATTTCAAGAACAATAGCATGTTCTCTTGCATGGGCAGAAGGTAAAAATGGGCAGAAGGTAAAAGTGCAAGGGGTTTTGTAAGTAGTAATCAACAATTAAGAACTGAAAGTTGAAAAATATTCATAGCTGGAGGAAAAACCAGAAAACAACAAAAAAAAGCACACACTTCAACAGCAACATACATGATCCTCTAACTCTGCGTATTTCCTATTCTCGGTTCACCCTAAAAACGTCTTGAGCAGGGATTTGAGCACATTCCAAAGGGCTACCAGGTTATAGTCAAAGTGGCAATCCCCGCAGAGTGCAATGAAAGCTATGGAAAGGCAGCATAAATCTCATGACATGAGGCAGGCAGACAGTGCATTCGCTTTGAGGAGGAGGTTAATTCTCAGTGTTGGAGCAGTCCTAAGCCTACTAGCAAGCAGTCGTACCTATTGTTTGCTCTAAGTCAGTCTCACACTAGATTTTCACTAAAACATCCCCCACAAAAAACACTGATATACAACTACTTGTCATCTACATTAAAGGAAACATGAACTTTTCTGCCTTAGGTCCTGAGGAGCACTTACTACATTGGATAATGGATTATCCTAAAACAGCTTTTAGAACAAGTCGTCTGGGTCTGTTTACATCCTTCTTTATAGGCAAATCATACTGCAAGTAGGATTTGAACTAGTGGAAGAACATCACACGACACTCTAGTATGCTTATATTAGCGCTGTTTACTTCTGCCACTCCCATCAAGAACAAACTACAGACCAAGCTTCTCTTGTATAGGTGGAAATACCTGAAGTTATCATCAGGCTTTTGTTATGCCATTATACTGCTACCACAGGAACATGAAGCTACATTAAAATGGTTCTAACCAACAAACATCTCTATTTACTTTAAAATGTTCCTTTTTTTTTTTTTTAAAAAAACACTTTGCCTTTCAAACAGTGCTCTGAAGTGCCACAGTTTTAAGGCAAATGAGTCATTCCATGTCAGCAACTGCTTTCCCTGGGAATAGTACTGCAAGAAATCTGTTTGATAATGCAAAATAGTCAACTAAAACAACTAAAAAAAAAACTTAGACAAAAGAAAAATTGCACTGCCTCCCCAGTTTAGACAGTCTCCCCAACTAAGAGGCAAATTCTTGTGACTCCACTGTCATCTCTTTTGCAAAGGAAGAAGAGGTGCTGTTCACTTCCAGGGTTTCAGTGTTGCAGCAGTTCAAACCTTGCTCACGTTGCAGTGAGCAGTAATTTGCCAGAATAAGGATTCTGCAACTCTGAAGCACAAGAGAGCTTTTCTTAAGCTGAATTTGAGTTTGGCTGTTGTCTTAGACAACAGAACCACACAGCATTATAATAGATTCGTACGTCAAACATAAGGAACACTCACAGTTTAGAATACAACATTTGAGGGCCAAAACCCATAAACCCACAGTTCTGTTCCACGTTATTTTGAAAGAGAATCTGAACAAACTCAAGAGATATTTATTCCACCTTAAGAAAAAGCACATCATTCCTCTGACCTAAATCCAGGGGGAGAAGAGGAAGAGGACAGGGGAGTTCTCTCTAGTTCTTGTTGCATTTAGAAGTGTTTAATATTAAAGGCAGAGGTAAGATTTCCCTTCCCCCTCTCCCCCCATCGTCTTCTTCAACTCAGTTAACGCAGACCTTTCAGAAAGGCGTTTTAACCTGCCTGATCTAAAGTGTAGAATCACTTCTAAACAGATTTCTAAAACTTGTCATTGCTAATAAGCTATAAGACTAAGGAAGGGTGGGCTAGTATGCTTAGTCAATCCCTAACACTTTAGGTAGAGAATGTAGCGCTGCAGTACGGACTAGCTAGTTCCAACCTTATTCTAAGCATATAAGGAAGCAAACTCAAACTGTAACATGACTCTGTCTACTTTACACACTTGCTTGGTTGCTTCCTTTTCCTCTTGTGGTCTCACCTCCTTTTTTCAGAGAGCTGCCCCACTACAATTGGATTGACAAGATCACAGAGATAGCTTAACTACAGAGTTCAGGAACACAATGCTGTTTTTGTAATGATTCGCATCTAAGCGACAAATGTAAATCCATTTCATTAACTTATTGATTAAAACAGCAAAATCATTTTTAATTTAATAGAGGACTATAAACTCTTTAATGCCATCTGCAACGGTTAGTATACCGACTTCCAAAAAAGTAGAAGGTTTAAAATGAAGTGTACTAGGAGCACTACTTTTCAACAGTATCTTTCTAAACTTTGTATGAAGCTTCCCTTAGGCTGTAATCATTTGTTTGACAGCATTGGAACACCAGCTGCATAAACTAAACTTATACCAGACAAAACTGATTGACAATGAGTTAGACGAGGATACAAAGCAAAACGAAGTCCTTACCCTCTCTAGGAGGCTCATTTCCTGGAACTCTGGGCTGGTGTTGGCTAACCGTTGCAGTGTGTGTGTTAGGTCATACGTTGTTGAGAAGTAAAATCCATCCACGCTCAAGACATGACTAAGCATTGATAAAAATACCTTATTGTCCTGCAACTGTTGGGAAGAAACAGCTCATTTATTAATGTCAAGTTATCTTTTTCTTTACCTATCTCTGCTTTCTGAAGTGATGATCTGAACTTTGCTAGTGCTCTAGCAGCACATGAGAGCATCTGGAGAATAAGAGAGCAAGCAAAAGCCTGCAGTTTTGATATCGGTGCACTGATAACTTGCAGCAACTACACTAAAACTGAGTTCAGCAAGTATGGTAGACAGCAGAAAACAGTGCTCCTCCGAGGTAGTTACCTCGGAGATTGGGCTACTAGAGCTACTGAAGTTACACTGACATTGATGACTTTCCAACAAAAAGGAAGCCATCGTTTTCCCTGAAAGCCATTCGGTCAAAAAAAGAGACGGAACGGCAACACAAAAGAAAGGATCAAACTTAACTGTCAAGATTACGCCAATAACTAGTAAGTGCTGTAGTTCAAGTTTTGATTAACCTCATTCTTCTCCTGAAGGAGCATCAGATTTGCCTTCAGCTTCACTGGGCAGACACCTTTGCCCGCTCTGTATCAACCTACAACACACCTGTTTTTAAAAAAAAACAAACTTCATCCTTTTCCTCCAACTTAAATTTCAATTTGTCCCAGCTTGGTAAGTATATACTGGAACAATTCCATGTATTAAGCAAGATAGATAATTAAACAGCAAGACAGCTTATTGTAGGGGCTATCAGAACAGTAACGCCATGAGAAAAATTAAAAGAAAGGGTAGTGATTTTGTGGACTGGCTCAGGAAGACTGCTCTGTAACAGACTGTGCAGAAGGCAACGTTACAACACCTCTGAAGTACACTAGTTAATCAAGTTACCTTGATTAAGGCCTTCAAAGGAGAAAAGATGATACTGGATTTCAGGACAAGAACAGAGATACAGCAAGACAGTCTCCTCTCTTCCCCATTGAATCATCTTCAAAGGGGGAAGTACAACATGCACTTCAAACTCAGTGTGGCCAATAGTCCAAGTTGCATGATATTAATTTATCTTGAATGATGTAACTTTGCATGCATTTATACCTGAATAGTATGTCAATTACAGTAGTGTGAATGAATCAGAGAGGAAAGTATAGTTCACATAGCTTCTTTAAAAAAAGAAACAAAAAACCCCATAGTTTCGTCATTACAATGGGACCTAATTTGATGAAGATTAGCACTAAAAAAACCAGAAGAAAAGCAGTCAAGTGAAATCTCCCCCTGCTGCAAATCAATCCACTCTTACCTGAATATCAGTTAAATGCAGCATGGTCTTTTTATAGGAGAGGATGTCAAAGTCTGTTGCTTTCCAGATCACATGACTGAAAATCTCACCTACTTTTTTCTTTTTTGTTATGACAATGAGATACGTGCCTGTAAAACAGAAAGATCAAAGTTAAAAAAATATACATATTAGATACACGTATCAAGAAAAGCAGCCTAAAACCATTCCAGAAAACTCAAAGGGATAGGAAATGGAGAGGTTTCTTCAAGTCCCACTCTCCATGGGTTTCTAAGGAAGACAGGTTGCTTAAATTCACAGGCAAAAAACAACATCAGCACTTAGGACTATGTTGTTCATAGGAATGGTATATTCAGTCACTCAAAGTAATTTACCTTCGGGGGTGGGGGAATGACAACACACACTCATTTCTAAGTCTATCTCATTTCATAGGCAACTTTCGGGAGGAGACTGACAGAAAAATTTTGCTACTGACTGAATATCATCCTTCATACATCTTAAAACCATAAAAAGCTTAAAGAAGTACAGAAATATCAATGTCCAATTTAATAAAGTAATCGCTCTTCAAAAAAAAACCAATCGAGTACACTTTTAATAAAAGAAATGCAAATGTTAAGGCAGAAATTGTTCACATTGTGTGCAGTAAGTTAGTTTTCCCATTATTTGTATTTACTACTATTTGTACCTAATATAATGATTGACCAGTCTATAAACACTGGTATATATCCAGGTATCTAATGCATACAGTTAGTCAAAGAACATTTGACAACTACCACCCTCCCTCCCCCCACCTTTAAATTTTAAGTTCTAGTTTTGTAGCATTTACTTAGGTCGAATATTCAAGCACTTGAGATGGAAACACGATAGAGCATTCTTAAGTTGTAAGTACTGCTTTTGGTTGGTAAGCAATCAGACACCTTATAAGAAGATAGTACACCGTGTCCACAACTACTTCATAAAGATGTTGCTCAAATAACTACATTTAGTCAGATGTGAATGTTCAATATCGTCCTTTCCTATTTGGGTACACAACATTTGGTCTGAGATTTCAAACACTTGAAGATATTGCTTGAGCAGTTCCCCCCTCCCCCCCCAATACTGTAATAGGAAAACGGTATTCATGCTTTTTTAAGAGGCTGCTTTACTAGATATGGAACCATTTTTATTGTTAACAGACAGCAGTGAAATGCCTAACAACGCTCAGCTCAACATTTACTTAACTGTTATTATCTTTAGTTGACAAGTATACATTAAAAACTAGTGTAAGGTTTTTGGAGTAGGGGCTGGAAGGGGGAGGGAAGAGAGACAGGACATTGAAGAAGTTACATATTTTGGTTCCATGTTCAGTCACATGAATGAAATGCATTACCAAACCTGTAAGCTGTTAAAAACCCACTTCGGAGCAATGCACTTTTTGAACAACCAGAGCTTGTCAGCTACTCAAGACAAAGATGTCCATTACATTGCTTTTACCCTGCAAGATCTAAAATTCTTGTTTAGTATATCAGCATATAAAGTTTGGCAATTTAAGACCCTATCAGAAGTCATTGCATTTAACACATTGGCGCTTTGCTTTAGTTTAGTACACCGCAAAGAGCGTCACTGAACTTAAATCCTTCCTATGTATGGAGATGTTTATTGAGTATGTACGTTCCCATTAGATCAGTTTCCAGACCGCATTAGTCTCAAACTCTAAAATCCACCCACAGAAGCGTGTGGGGTGTTCTCCTGTTTGGCCATGGATTCTTAGACTTCAGGTATCAGGTTTTATCTGTGACAATGCCTACTCATATCCATTTCAAACATCACGGAAATATTTAAAAGAGTAGACAGCTTGTTCTTACCTTATCCTGTAACTCCCTAAAAATTTTGAATTGTTCCTGTTTGTCTCTTTTCAAGTGTTGAATTTCTCCATATTGGGAGAATAGTTTGAATACAGCTATTACTTAAACAGCCGCATCCACTAATCTATCACTCTGTCTCTCCCAGGTATTTGTATACCAACGTTATTGATTTGAAGTCAAACTTCAGAAAACAATACTTCACTGTTACATCTTATCCTGCAGCTGCGATGAACACAGTTAAAGAATGAGCAGATGAAGTTCTTTGCATGCATTTGAAATACATTCTTTAGAACCTAGGAAGCTGGCAATTAACCTTACCTTTAGAACAGCTACAGGCTTAAGAGGGACATGAACACCCATGATTAACTATGTTTTAATACCGCCATCCTGTAGCAACCAAAAGGAGAGCCCGTAAAGTGATCATACTGCACAAAGTGCAACCTCTGATACCCTGCAAAGACTACTTTTGATTTTAAAGGTTCTTTAGCAATATGTTTTGCCTAAACATTTTTAAAAGAGCACAGTTTTGTTTTCCTTACCTGCCACCAATCGGATTGTTCCCAAAATACCATATATAGGCCTTGTAACAGCTGAAGGGGGAATATCTTTCTTAACTGAAAAGCAGGTAAAAAACAACAAGAAAAACAGTGTCAGAATGTTTATTTCATGACTATATCACAAAATTATTGCACTGCGAGTTGCTCAAAGCTTCTTGGTCGAACCCCAGGCTTTGCTGGGGTCACAAATTTAGGAAGTAAT